GACTCTGACTTTGACTATGACCCTGACCCTGACCCTGACCCTGACCCTGACCCTGACCCTGACCCTGACCCTGACTCTGACCCTGACCCTGACCGCCCTAGTGGCTGACTGACAGTGTGAGGGCCCCTGGACCGATAACAGGATACTACCCTTGTCTTACCTTGCCAGGAGCCCCTGATTGAAGACTGTCTGCCTTGCCTGGCTGAGGACAGTTACTGTCAGACTTTGAGACATTGCTATTTAAGCTGCAGCACTTTCTGTGTGTATGGTGGCTTGGACATGATGCAGATGTGAGATGGACATAATATGGTACTGTACAGCAACATGGCCAGCCCCTCGCTGACCGCTGATGACCACGATAAGCTGGATAGCTTTATGTCTGCACTAAAATGTAAGGCACGTCAGAAATGCAAACAGAAACTGCTGGAAAATCTCAGCAGGATTGGCAGCATTTGAGGAGAGAAAGAAAAGTTAGTATTTTGACCCTTTTTTCTTTAGGCAATTTAGAAGTACTGTGAATCTTTCAGCTTAGCTTGTGAGGTCAATGTGCAAACAGGCATGGAAAGGCAAGACAAGCAGGAAGGTTTTGAGCATCCAAGAAGGTGCAAAGTGATTATTGCAAATAGAATAAGCAAGGATGCCCGAGGTGTAATCTGCTCCAATCCATGAGATGGTGCTAGACCCTGTGTGTAATGTACACTGGCAGCACAGTCACAATGCTGGGAGCTGATGAGCTCCAAATGCAGTACAGAAGTGCAGAACTGGATTGTTAGTGGGTCAGGGATGTCCCGTGTGGCGGCAGTGAGAATGGTACGTGTCCGATGCCAATCTCCGAGGACACATGTGTGCAGGCAGTCACTGGCCATGTACCATGTCCTGAGATGTTGGTCACTGCTGCTCAGGATGGAGGCCTGAAGGAACAAGTGGCAAACCAGAGATAGCAGATAATCACTCTGACTTTCATGTTGGGAGTTCTCGTTTCGATCAGATTGGTGGGAGAATGAGAAGAATAGAAGAATAGGAAACTTTTTAAAATTCATTAACAAGATGTGGGTGCCATTGGCTTGGCCAGCATTCATTGTCCATCCCTAGCTGCCCTTGAGAAGGTGCCATTTGGACTGCTGTAATCTATTTGATGCAGGTACACATACCAGGGAGAGAATTCCAGGATTTTGACCCAGGGACGGCGATATATTTCCAAGTCAGCATGGTGAGTGGCTTGGAGGGGACCTTGCAAGGAGTGTTGTTCCCATGTATCTGCTGTCCTTGTCCTTCTAAATGGAAATGGTTGTGGGTTTGGAAGGCGCTGTCTGAGGGTCTTTGGTGAATTTCTGCAGTGCATCTTGTAGATAGTACACACTGCTGCTCCTGAGCATTGGTGATAGAGGCACTGAATGTTTGTGGATGTAGTGCCAATCAAGCGGGGGCTGCTTTGTCCTGGATAGTGTTAAGCTTCTTGACCTGTTGTTGGAGCTGCATCCATCCAGGCAAGTGGGGAATATTCCATCAGGCTCCTGACTTGTGCCTTGTCGATGGTGGACAGGCTTTGAGGAGTTGGGAGAGTTACTTGTCACAGCATTCCAAGCTCCTGACCCACTCTTACAGATACAGTATTTATTTGGATAGTCCACTTCAGTTCCTGGTTGATAGTAATCCCAGAATTCAATTATGACTATGCCATTGAATGGCAAAGGGCGATGGTTACATTGCCTCTAATTAGATATAGTCCCTGTCTGGCATTTGTATTGTAATTTTATATCAATAAGGCAAAGTTTAGTAATAATAATATGCTAATGCATGCAAATGGAATAAAAAGTCTTCTTGCTGTTCACTAGTGAACGCCTTGTCTCATGGTTCAGAACTTGATTGGGGAATCAAACTTTTTTTCTCAACACCGAGTAACTAATTCCTGCCAACCACACACTGACACCCCAGTGCCCAACTTGATCAGGCACTGTGAAGATTCCAATCTAAGCTGACAGTTCGGAAAACGGAAAACGCAGAAATCAACAGAGTTCACTCCCAGTGAAGAATATCTTACTGTTGTCTCCGATCTGGAAGTATTGAGCATTTTGTACAGTTTAGTCTGTTTTATGCTTCCTTGAGATCCTTCTCTATTACTTTCTTTCTAAGGTTTCACAGTCCACCTTTATAGTTCATCCCCTGAATGATCACTAATTTTCCTTGAACTTGAGATGGAAAGTTCGCCCATGAGGGTTCTGAGGAAAGGCCACCGGACCAAAAACGTTAACTCTGTTTTTCCTTCACAGATGCTGCCAGACCTGCTGAGCTTCTCCAGCAAATTTGTTTTTGCTCCTGATTTACAGCATCCGCAGTTCTTTCGGTTTTAATTTGACAATATCAGAGTTTCACCAAGTATTGAACTTCTGTAAATTTTACAGAGTTAATATACTTTAATTAAAATTGGACTATGGCGCTAATCTACATTACTCTGGGAGTATTAACACTGCACTGAACAGTATTTTCTACTTTGCTTAATGATATGTGTGATTACTTAGGTAAATCAAAAGAGATCCTGACAAACAACAAACCACCACAAAAGACACCAGAGAAATGCAGTTGGAAGTTGTCATTTGATGCGGTTGCAAGTTTTCGTGGAGAGATGTTTTTCTTCAAAGATAGGTAAGAATGACGTTGAACAAACCAGAGTATTTTTATTATTGATTATTTAACATTGATAGTTTCATATTGGAAAATCATATCTGGACTTCAGGTACCTGAGGCAAAATTACACAAATTAGACCTGCTTTCTCTAGAATTTAGAAAGTTACAGGTGATCTGATTGAGGTTTTCAAGATATTAACAGGAAAAGACAGGGTAGATAAAGATAAACTATTTCCACTGGTTGGGGATTCTAGAACTAGATGGCACTAGTCTGAGAATTGGGGTCAGACTGTTCAGTAAAGATGTTAGGAAGCATTTATACACACAAAGGATGGTTGATGTATGGAACTCTCTCCCACAAATGGCAGTGGATGCTGGATCAGATGTTCATTTAAATTTGAGATTGATGATTTTCGGTAAACATAGGTATTAAGGGATAAGGGCCAAAGGCAGATATATGGAGTCAGGACACAGATCAGCCATGATCTCATTAAATGTGGAACAGGCTCGAGGGGATGAATGGCCTACTCCTGTTCCTATGTTCCTAAAATGTTTAGCAAAAATATTTGAGTGCGCTTTCAATAAACAACCCCAATTATTTTATTTTCAACTGTCAGATTTATGTTATTGCCTGCAGCTCTCCACATGCCAAGATTTACAGAAGTGATTTATCAAAGCCAAAGAGTTTCATTGGATGAGCCAATAAAACTGGTGCCAATGCAGCCTGGATAATCTGGTACAGATTCCATTGGCTGGCTACAAAGCGATATAAAGACAATTGTACCATCTCTTTCCTGATCACAGGATCTGCCAAAGTACCTTACAGTCACTTTGAGCTTGTCACTGTTTCAGTTGAACTAGCATTTGTACTGGCCTGAAATTAAACATTCACCTACTATTTTTGTCCAGAGAACATTTCAAGACAAGTGGTGTTTATCTAGGTGCAAGGCTGGATGAACACAGCAGGCCAAGCAGCATCATAGGAGCAGAGAGGCTGACGTTTCGGGCCTAGACCCTTCATCAGAAAAGGGGGAGGGGAAGGGGGTTTTGAAATAAATAGGGAGAGAGTGGGAGGCGGATAGAAGAGGGATAGAGGAGAGGATAGGTGGAGAGGAAACAAACAGGTCGAAGAGGCGGGGATGGGGCCAGGAAAGGTGAGTGTAGGTAGGGAGTTAGGAAGGGGATAGGTCAGTCCAGGGAGGACGGACAGGTCAAGGGGGCGGGATGAGGTTGGTCGGTAGGAGATGGAGGTGCGGCTTG